GGTGCCTGGGGTGGCAACCGATATCGCGAGGGAGAAGGGGACCTCAGGGCACCAAATAACATCATAGGGATAGGGCGCCAACCATAGGGGAACACCCATCGGGAACCAAGGCGACAACCACAAATCGCCACACATTGGGACAACGACCCTGGGGAAGCATGGGGCCCACCAGGCTCTGTCATAGGGCACCACCAATGAGGCATCAAGGCGGCAACCAAAAAACGCAACGATGGCTGGCCATAGGGCGTCTGCCACAGGGCTCCGCCCATAAGGCAGCAGGGCGGTAACCAGAGAAACCGTGACCATTGACGCACTATAGATAACTGGCCATAAAGCTACAACCATGGTGCCTCAAGGAGGCATCACGGAATAGAGACACTCTGGGCATCACAAGGCACCGTCCACAAGGCACCACCCATGCAGGGCAATAATTATGGCACCTGAGGCAACACAGGGCACCACCCCTGCGGAGCCACCTACAGGACAGCCGTGCGGCAACCTTACATCGCGACGACTACTCATGGGGCACCAAAGATGCAATCAGAAACCGCGACGACTGAGGCACCATGAAACACAATGCATAGGGCACCAGCCTTATGGGAAAATGGCGTCAACTTGATCGTCGTAGCAACTGAAACATCACAGGGCATCACCCCTGTGGCACCACCCAGACAGGGCACCAAGGATGCAATCGCAAGGCCGCGACACTTAGGGCATCTCAGGACGCCAACCATAGGGGCACCAACCATAGAGCACGAGGGCAACAATCCGCAATCGCGACAACTGGAGCATCGCAGGGCACCAGCCATAGGGCACGACCCTGATAAAGGCACCAGGAAGGCATCGAATATCAACATGGAGGGCGGTTCCTTTCAGCCAGGGCGTCGAGGTCAGCTGGATGTAAAAGCCAGCGGCCAGTCTGTCACAAAACAATTCTGAGAGCCCTGAACGCTGAACGTCCCCGAAGGCCTCCGGATGTCCCAGGAGGGAAGAGGGCCCAACACATCTAAATACTGGAGCTCTCAAAGCCTATCGGTACCCAGATCTCTGCTGTGATGCGCTCTGGCCAGGACTCCAAGAGAAATCCAGCTGCGGCGACGAGGGCGCTTAAGAGGCCCAACAAGATAACAACGACGCACCCAAACCTCCTCCTCCTCCTCCTCCTCCTCCGTCTCCTTCTCCTTCTCCTCCTCCTCCTCCTCCTCCTCCTCTTCCTCCTCCCTCCTCCCTTGTCCTACTCCTCCTCCTCCTCCTCCTCCGCCTCATCCTCCACGTGCCTCCTACATCCTCATGTTCATCCTTTTCCTCCTCATCATCCTCATCTTCCACTTTCCCCTTCTCCTCCTCCTCCTTCTTCTTCTTCTCCTCCGCCTCCGCCCCCTCCTCCTCTTCCTCCTTCTCCCGTTTCCTCCTCCTCCGTTTTCCCCTTCCCCCTCCTCCATTCTTGTTCCTTATAAATAACTTCCCCCTGTCGCACCCCGAGGCCGGTCGAACGGGCGGGCTGGTCGTTTCGCCTGGGACTTCCCCACCACATTATATGACCCTGAAGCTGACAAATTGGCGACAATTTCACAAATGGAGGGCGGGCCGTCTTCAACATGTGGTTTTCTCGTGAGCGCTGCGCACATTCTTTTCAAAAACATTGCAAGAGATTCACAAATTGAGGGTTCATAATGTTGCTCTCGCCTTAGCGCCGCGCACATTCTTTCTAAAAGTTACAAGAGCTTCACGGATTTAGGGCGGCTCCTTTTCAATATGCGGCTCTCGTCTCAGCGCCGCGCACATCCATATTACAAAATGCAAGAATTTCACGGATTCCCATGGTCAACCTACCAAATATGGTCTTTTGGAAAGACTCAAGAGCATGAAGGTGCAACAATTATGTTGATTCGCGGTGTTGGAGTCCCAGGATTGGCGTTATGGCACGATTCAGGACCGTCAAGACGCAACAGTCAGGTTGATCCGTGGCGACGGAATCCCGACAATAATGTTGTGGCATGCTTCAGGGTATTCACACGATTGTCTTCCAACGAGGCAGTTCCCTCAGTGGAAATGAATCCTTGTAGGGGCCTATGAAGAGAAAGCTTGGAGGGAGGGTCTATTCCAACATCGTTGATGACTCTTGGGTTTGCACTGGTCCTCCTCCTCCTCCTCCTCAACCTGTTCGTCCTCTTCCTCCTCCTCCTCCTCCTCCTCCTCCTCCGTCCTCCGTCCTCCCTCCTCCCCCGCCCTCCATCCTCGCCCCCCACCTCCTCAGGCCCGCCCCCCGGCGAGGAGCCACTTGTCCGCCGCACCTGGGTGCCGAGCCGCCTCGGCGCAGGGCACCAGAACCGGCACGTGGCTCGGGGCGTAGACCTTCAGGTCCCGGATGCCTCCCCGCACGGAAGGGGGAGGACTGGGGTAAGGGGGGGGAGCAAGCTAGGTGCGCTCGCGCCTCATCTGACATCCGATCCCTCCTTCCCATCCCTTCCCACGGCGCTGAGTTGCCACTCCCACAGCCAAAAAAGCACTTCGTGCTTTGCGCAATCGGAGAACAAGGGGAACGGCGTGCACAGGAGGATGACAAGGAGGTGGGTGAGCAGGAGGATGGACGGGAGGACAAACATGATTACGAACAATAGCAGCAGGAACTCAAGCGGACGAGTCGGGAGGAAAAGGAGGACCAGGAAAAGGCGGAGAAGGAGATTTGAGGGGGGCGACAAGGATGAAGAAATATTCGGATTCAGAAACGTTGCCCGCGCTGGGGCGAAACGAATGGCAGCAAGAGGAAATTTAGTGGCAGGGTCCGGAGGAACAGAAGCACAAGAAAAACGCGGATGAGGGGACATGAAAAGGAGGACCACGATGAAGCAAGACTCGGATCCAGAAACGTGGCCCTCGCTGGGTCGAAAATACCAGCCTGAACGACGGGAGCAAGCCGCCGATCCAAAAATGAGGAACACCATTCTGGAACGCCGAAAACAATCGGATTGCAACAGCGCGCCATAAGAACAAATAGTGCTCGAAATCCGGCGTCAACAAAAAACAGCACGCGGAGGGGGCGGGAGATCTTCTGGACAACTTCACGGGAGGACGGCTGATAATATTTACATTGTTTGGTTGTGGAGTGGGGTGCATGTTAAGGGGCAGGGGGCGGGGAGGAGGGGGAGGAATGAAGGGAAGCATCAGGGATAAGGGGGAGAGGCTGGGGGAAGACGAGGACTGGGGGGGAGGAGGGGGGGGGAGGAAGGGGGAGTAAGAGGGGGGGCACGAGGACGATGAGAGGGAAGGAGAGGGCGTGGAGAGGGCGGGCGTCCAAGACAGGAGAGCACTGACCCAAAGAGAGAAGAAGGGCGGCCAAGAGCACGAGACGAAGAGCGGACAACAAGGCGGATGGCAGAGCCGAGAGAGCCCGCGGCCCTTCCCGCGCCAAGCCGCGCAGCTGCGACTCGAGGGAGGCCGCCTCCTAAGATTAGCTTTTGCAGGAGCCTTGGCCATGGCTAGCGCACGGGTCGGTCTCCGTGCCAATGCAAACTCCTTGCTCTCGTGAAACATGGAGCGCGAATGCTCAAGGATAGCAGCAACAGCTACGAGCTTTGGAAGCAGGCGAGGCGAGATACGATGGAACGCAGCGCGCTGGACACCAGTGGCATGAATGAAACGAGCGGGAAGCGGAGGGAGTACGGTATACATGCACCCAACACCTGGGCATGCGAGAATGTGCCTCAGAGCGTCCCCTCCGAGAGCAGTCTTGCAGACATGGGAATTCCTGCTTGGACCTGAGGATCTGGCAGGCTCGGTCCACGCGCTGCACATAGTTCGAAACACGCTGGAAAGTACATGGCGGCACAATGCTGGCAATCCTTCGGACGGCCATGATCGGTTGGTCGCAGTGATGGGCTGAACCAAGCATGACGTGACGAGAACGCTTGCACATGCACAAGCAAAAAAGCGGCCACACGGTCCCTCGCGCCTCGTCAAACCAGCTCGGTTTTCTTCCGAAGCTGGTTCTGACCCAAAGCAGGCGCCGCAGGGATGGCAATTACTTTGCAGAAAGTATGATGCTGATGTTCGAACGAACTGACGCTGCACCGCCAATGGGAGCGCCGCAGGACGACGCGGTCACCGTCGCCGCTGCAACATTCCAAGAAACCCCGAATTTCGAAAACAAGCAAAAGCCGGAGTGGAGGCAGTAAGCTTACGCGAGGCCGCCTTGCCGACGCAACTCAGGTCCCGAACAGTTGTTCAAATCAAGTAGCACGCTTGTAGTGTATGCGCTGCGAGGGGCGATGGGGTGATATTCTGAATGGCACTCTCCACCAGCTGGATGGCTGCCCGGGGGGCTCATGACATTCCGTGACATGCGAACATGCGAGAGGACAGAGAATCCAACATAATCGAATTGTGCAATACTTTCGGCTTGGCCTTGCCTCAATGACCTCACGGTGCGGGCTCGGCTCGGGCGCTCTGCGGCCGGGGCGAGCCCGCTAGTCTGGTGCCCATCCGCTCCGATCATGGCGCCGAGGTGCTTCCCTGACGTGGCGACCGTGAACGAGCCACTCTGAAATGCATGGTCGAGTAGTCGCTGCTGCGCGTGCTCGGGAGAAGCACCGTGGACCTCTGGCGATGACAGTCTTCGCAATGTGTAGCTTGAGCCCGGTTGCTCCAGGGCAACATGTAGACGCAGGCGCAGCAAAAGCAAGCGCGGCAAACGTATCGGCACCTCCCGCTCCGAAATCGTCGGCGAAATCAGCGCATGCCGATGCGCGCGGTGGCAGCCGAGCAGCCGGCAGTCGAAGTGCTGGATCCGCCGCGAGAGCGACTACACTACCAGTAACCGGGCATCCTTCTATGAGTCCCCTTCACAACCCAAAATGTCCCGCCTCGGGTTCCTGCGAAAGAGACGGCGCTGCAGACGTCAGCGCGCAGGATGTGAATGCGAAGCCGAATGTGCAATAGAACGTGAAGTAAGTCCAATATCACAAAATGTTCGCGGTTCAGGGCCCCGGAGGCGCTCTCGAAACCAGACGACACGACATGAAGCCAGAATCGAGAAGCCCATGCTGGATGAGACAGTGCACCGTGCTGCCCTGAAGCTGCGCCAGATTCTGCGCCATGTCGCGGCGTTTAAACGAAGCACCGCTGGACTTCTACACGAGATAGCTGACGCGCGCAGCGGAAGGAGACGTAGACGGCAGAGGGGATCAGCCTGTTGTCGCCATTGCTCAACGCGCTCGGTCTAGTCTCCTCGGGAGCACGGAAATCCTGAAACATCCGCTGGGTCTGAACTTCGGCCAGGAAAACTCCGCCCCCCCCTCCGATTGAAGGGCTCGCGCGGAGACCGACCGCGCCGGGCCTCCGGATGAAAATTGCATATGAAATCATGGAAAACACCTCCTACCCGAGCCGATGCCGAATAAAGGAGGGCCATCTGCGCCAGGGGCGGCATCGCGCTGACGCGCAGCATGCCGAACGAAACCGCCCCGAGCCAACGTCCATTCGATGTGGTCGGGGAGCGGGAGGGCGCGCTGCACCTCGCGTCATGCTTCGGGGTCGGGGAGAACTCGCGCGCGCGGCCCCCTGGCGCCGTCCTGGAAGCTCGCGAACACGCATGGGATCAGCAATGCGCTGCCCAGTTGGATCGGCAACGCCCGAGAGGCGCGCCCGTCGCTTCACCGCCCCCCGCGCAGGCGTCAATTGCCGAGCTTGATTTCCTCAAGCTGCCGCAGTGGCTCGGGCGCGCGGCCCTCGGCGAGCTCGTCGGCGCGTTCCCGCGGGAGGCGAGCGCCGAGGGAGGCGGGGGGGCCGTGGAAGCCAGCCCGAACGATTCAAGCAGGCGCCGCGCGGTCGACGAATCCAGCCCGCCCGGGGCGGGCCGAAAACGCGCGAGCGAGCGGCGGCGAGCCAGGGGAAGAACCCGCGGCAATCGCCCGCGCGGCAGCAAGGGACCCGGATGTGGATTCAGGGGGCGCTGGCAGCGCCAGCTCCCTCAAGTCCCCGTCTAACTCTTAGGGCCGCTGCGCGGAGCAGATCCTTTCGTTCCTCCAGGGCCTCGCAGGGAGCTTCGGCCTCCGTGCCCGCCGCAGACGCAGGCCCGTCGACGCTCGCCAGGGAACTGGCGCTAAAAAAAAACGATGTTGCAAAGCCTTGCGCCGCAGAGCGACGTCCTGGAAATGGCGAGGGCGCGACAGGCAGGCGGTCGGAGAGCTCGTGCTTCTCGCGCGCATTGCCGATCACGAACGAGCGCAAGCCATGGTTCAACAGTTCTGCGGTGCACGTCCTTCCTAGTATATGCCCGATCGAGACGCGAGACCGACGTGACATGTGCCGCACCAGAAACAGGCCGAGTCCCACGGACACGCATGGCAGCGCGCGATAAAACTTGACGCGCAGGACGAGCCTGTTCAACTTCACACATCCGCGATGCAGCTGAGCGCGCGCCTCTGCGGCTCCAGCTTAGGAGAGACCGAATTGCTGTCGACAGCGAGACCTGCCAGGGACATCACGCGCATTGGACGCGCGGGGCCTGCCGCTAGGGTCCGAAATTTTGATCGCGCGAGCTCTGCCGTGGACCGGCGCGCGATGACGAATGCGAATGAACTGTGCGCGTGTACTAGGATGCATGAGGATGGACGCAGTCACCTGCAGGCGCTGCTTCGGCTCCAGGGTCAGTCGGGGCGCAGAACGCAGAACGTGCCAGACCCAAACCCACCAGCGGTCTCCTTCATGATCCGACAAGAAGTATGCATCGAACCTCTAGCTCCTCGGAAACATGCGATGGCGCAATTAACGGAGAGACGAAGAAGACGAAGCGCTTTTTCTCTGAAGCGAGGGGGGCGACCACAAGGAGCCAGACAAACTTCGCGCGCTCCAAGATCAATCGGAACCTTGTCTGAGATGCGGAATGGGCCAGCCCGCTCGACGAGACAGGACGCGCACTGGCTGCCAGGACTGGCACCTGGAGATGGGAATGAGGACGACAGAGCCGAGGAACCAAAAAAACAAATGAAGTGCCGCTCGAGCTGCTGCTGCGCGAACGACTTGAAACTGACGCACGGGCGCACTTGCGCCCTCGACCTGAAGAGCACGCCGAACTCCCAGGGCACAAACGTTTCCGCAGTTAGTGGCATTCAATTTCGATGCTGAAAGATTGCTCCCGCAGAAACAATCACCCTTGCCACTGCCTCCTTACTGCAGTTGAATTTCCCACAGTGAGCCCCGCGTGCCAGCAGCCTGGCACCACTCGGCCATGGTCTCATCTGGGATGTGAGACTGGGCGAGGTATTCGCGATCTACCACTGCTCGTGATCGAGCTCTTGGGTGCGCGCGAGGACGTAGACGTCGTCCTGCATGGTGACGCACAGGAAGCAGCGGCACCCGATGCATCCGAAGGTCCACTGCTGCTCCTGGTATGGGGGTCTCCTGAGCCTTCCAGAGCTCGAGGATCGTCTGCCAGACCGTGCCAGAGGACCGTGCGCCTGGCGCGCCACGAGGGTCGGCGCGGCGAGGCTGCTCCTGAGCTCCGCCTGGCCGGCCTCGGAGCCCTTGGTGGTAGATGCCGCGCTCGCGGGCGGAGTCCAAGAGTGCCCTGCCCTCCATCACGTCGTGGAACTTGAAACGATACGACTGCACGAGATTGGATGCGACGATCTCCGCAGCTGCGGGGATGGCGGTCTGGGGCTGGGTCTTGACCAATCTGCCATGCATCCTGAAAACTCGCTGAACTACTGGCCTCTTGAAGCCTCAGATCCAAACATTACCGTCGCCTTCGTTGTCCTGGCTGTTGTTGCTGCTCTCGTGTTCGCGATGGCCGCGATGCGATCTCCCAGGGGCCTGAGTGCTGGCCAGGCTCGGCGCGCTGCTGGCAGCCGAGCTGCACGTCAGAGAAGCAGCCTGGTACTTCCGGTCGAGCTCGTTGAGCGTGCTCTGAACCTTCGCGTCGAAGGCGGTGTCGAGCGTCTTATCGACGACCGACTGGATGCCAGCCGGCCGAAATGCCGTCGCACTGCGCCTACATTCGCTGAGACTTCAAATTCTGGTATTCAACCTTCTGATTCAAGGAGCTGGGTTGATGAGTGTCTGGAGCCAGGCTGGCTGCACAGTGCGAGCAGTTTGGCTCGAGAGGTACACGTATCCGTCGTCGCCAGCGTTCCTCCTACAACCATCACTGCCAGTAGCCATCTCCTCATCCTACGATGCTACCAGGGTCGGCTCGTCAGAAAAAGCCAATTGCGCGATGCTGGAAGCACCTACGACCGCAGGAACTGGAAATGCTTCAGTTTACCCACGACCGCGGGTGCGGAACAGAGACGCTGTGAACTAGAGAAATATTCCTCAGCCGCTGGGGTGCCCGCTGAGGCAGACGTGCAGATGAGGCCTGTCCTCGAAGGGCGGGACGCTGAGCCTCCCCTCGGCTGCGTCCAAGCTCGAAACGCCAGGGGAACGTTTCGAGCTTGTGCCAAATAGCTACTGAGGAGGCTCCAAGGGAGGGGGATGAGAAGGAGGAGGAGGAACATAAGGACGAGAAGGGCGGGAGGGTGAAAGCAGGCGGAGGAGCAGGGAGGAAGGGGAGACGAGACGAGACGCTGCTAAACGCGCTGGGGCGCGGCCCTATGTAAAGCGCAGCGGGGGTCGTGGCCCCTGAGGTGAAGTAGCACTCGTATCTGCATAGTTTGGGTTGTCAGGGTAATCGCGCTGCCACACAGCAGCTTGGCATTTCCAGTATTTATTGGCGTTTAAACTCGTCGCCTTTAGCTCGGGAAACAGCTCTGACTTGCGCGAAGGAGAGGGAGAAGGGGGAGAAGGGAGGAGCGATGTCTGAGGGAGGAGGAGGAGGAGGAGGAGGAGGAGGATGAGGAGGAGGAGGAGGAGGAGGAGGAGGAGGAGGAGGAGGAGGAGGAAGAGGAGGAGGAGGAGGAGGAGGAGGGAGGAGGAGGAGGAGGGAGGAGGAGGAGGACGAGGAGGAGGAGGAGGAGGAGGAGATGAGGAGGATGCGGAGGAGGAGGAGGGGGGGACGAGGACGGGGGAGGGGAGGAGTAGGGGAGGAAGGGGGGAGAGCGAGTATGCAGGAGGGGGGGAGAGGGTGACGATGAGAGAGAGAGAGAGGGGGGGGAGAAGGGTGAGCTTCGAGGGAGGAGGAGGAGGAGGAGGAGGAGGAGCAGGAGCAGGAGGAGGATGAAGAGACTGATGATGGGTCCTGCTGCCGAAAGATTGCTGCACCGAAGGGTGAGGCCCGTGTACACTCACGCTCAGCGGTAGTAGGCTGCGGGGAGCAAACTGCCATGCGGCAGGTGCTCGTCTTTGGGTAGTAACTTGGAGTTCCTTGAGGTATGGTATGTTGCTTGTCCCAATGCCTCATTATTTCCCCTTCTACTCGATGCGCCTCAAGGAGCACCTCATGTTTTGTTGTGTTCTGTGGTGCAGCATGTCTGCTGCTTGCCACCTGCGCCGACTGGTGCAGACAAGAGCTGCTCGAACGCTTGCGCTTTCTGCTGCTGCCGTTTTCCCCCCACCCTTGCATCCTCTTCCCAACTCTGTGGCTAGGCCCTATAGACTTCGACCCATCCGCCATTCGACCGACCGACCGAGGAGGAGGAGGAGGAGGAGGAGGAAGAGGAGGTGGAGGAACACCAGTAGGGGGGAATGCGAGGAGCAGGGGGAGAGAACGAGTACCCAGGAACAACATTCTTGGCTACTTCTGGAGCCACCTAGCCAAACCGATTGGAAGCACTCCCATTAGGCTCCACACAAGTTGAACCACTCTTTGGGCAACACACCTATGACCCAAATGTTCTTAGAAGGCACCGAGTGGACCGAATCGACTGGCTTCCTCTTCCTCTCGCTTGCCATTGCCTGATACCCCCTCTCCCTGCTCCGTGACCGAGGCTCGCCGCACAAGTTCCTTGGCTCGCTACCCACGGCACCTACGGCAAGTTCGTGTCGTGATGACTTCGGCATTGGTTTCTGACACCACGTGAATCGATCAACATTGAGGCGATCGCGGCTTTCGGGTAGCGCCAATCGTTCGACCGCTCGATGTCAGTCGGTTCTGGGCCACTGGCGGCGTTCCACCTTTGAACTCCCGTGCTGGTGTCGCCGCCTCGTCGGCACGACACGAACCTTCCGTACAGCCCGTCCTGCCGTGGCGCTTCGAGAAAATCGAGTCTCGTGCGCCTTTGGCCCGTCGGCCCCTGGTGAGCCTAGGCCTGCTCGTCCCTGTCTGCTCCGCCCTGCCTTAGGGTATACAGTCCCAGCTGCGTTCTCTAACGCGCTGCAGGCGTCTGTCTGGCTTCACCCATTGGCCTGACGTTGCTGCTGCCTTCGGCACCCACGAGGCCACCATACTTCGAGGCTTCCTCCACGGCGCTAGTGTGTTGAGCGTCCGCTGCATGTCTTGCGCACCTTTTGTTCCTGGTGGTCACACCACGATCCAAGGCACGCGCGGGCTTGGCATAGGACACTCCTCAGCTCGCGGATGGACTGCTTCGGTTTTGCTGCCCTCTCGCCCTGGCCAACGCTCTCTCTGGTGCCTCCAGCAACCCAGGGCAGCGCGTCATGGTGGGCATTCGCGCTCTTGCCTGGAAAGAGTGCGCGCGCGTCCCTGCCCCGCCCTCGAGTCCTTCCTTGCTGACCATCCTGGTCATGCTTGCTGGATGTTTCCGCCCGCTAGTAGAAGCTGGCAAACCTTCTGTTCGCTTCTACTGGCCGGGTTTGCCATGCTGCCGCAGGCATTTCAAGTACGTGCAAAACGCTACGACGGCGCATATTAGACATCTCTCCGGACACCTTAGATTCAAACAGCCTCCTTCCCTGCCTTCCGCTCGAAGACCCGACCGTTACGCGCCAGCGCATCCGAACGACTCCGTGCGATCCTTCGAAACGCTCCATGCTCCAACCAAAGACCTCTCTGATTGCTCCGCCCTCCCTCCATCTCCCAATCCTTTTTCTCTTCCCTCTCGTCCGCCTTCTCCTACCCATCCTGTTCCTCATCATCGTCCTGATTCCAAAATCGTCCTCCACCGTCTCGCTTCTACTGCTGTCCCATCCCAACACCGGCCCTCCGTAATACAGCACGCCCTGGTGCATGCCCTTCAGCTTGTCCGGCTGTGTCATGGTGAGCCTGACGTGCTCAGCCCAGTGGCCCTTGAGCGGGATCTTCGACCACGCGGAGTGCCTGGAGACGGAGGATGGAGAAGATCCGGACGCAGATGAGGAGCAAGCGGATGGCGAGCAATAAATGGAAGGGGGGCCGGCCACTGCAACAGCATCTCACGGCGAGCATACTACCCGACTGCGCCTGCCATCTGCGGACTAGCTCTCCGGGAGAAGAGGCTGCGCGTTACCAATCCTCCTCCCCGGACTCCTTTCGGGGACGCGCTGACCCGGGTCAACCCAAACCCGGGTTAGTCGGGCTTTCAGGATCCTGCCGAACCCTGCAGGATCCTGCAGGATCCAGGATCCTGCACGTAAGCTGGGGTCAACGCACCCCTGGCTCCTCAGGATCCCGCAAGATCCGGCGCCTTGGCTGACCCCGGTTCGCATCGACCCCCGTCCCTCGAGCCCTGGAGACTCCTCCCTCTCGGGCCACACCCCTGACCTTCGCCGCTGTCCTCTACAGCATCGTTGTGTGCAGAGTCAGAGCCATAATTTAATCATTTTTGTGCGCGTGTGTGTGTGTGTGTGGTTGTTGTGTGTTTTTGTTATGTTTTTTGTTTCACCCGGTGTTTTTTTTTGTGTGTGTGTGTTTTGTGTGTTGGTTTGTCTATGTTGTGTGCTTTTTTTGTGTGTTTTTTTTATGCGGGAGGAATCTGCCGCGGTCGATCGCCCGGGGGGGTTCGACTGCCGCCCCGGCGCGGATCGCCCCCGCCAAAGTTCCCTCAAAAGGGAGAGCTTAGGCGGGGGTTTTTCCCGCAGGCGCCCCCGCTCGCCTGGGAGGGCGCGGGGGGTCCTGGATCGCCCGGGGGGGTTCCAGGACGGGCCGACTCGCCCGGGGGGGTCGGTCCGAGCGGTGGAATCGCCTGGGGGGGTCTCCGCTGCTCAGTTCCTGCACGAGTCGCCCGGGATGGTCTCGCGCGGGAACAGCCCTCGCGAATCGCCCAGGGGGGTTCCACGGGGGCGAGGTAGCCCGGGGGGCGCCTCAGAGGATAGTGCACGGCGCGAAGGATTCACGCGAATCTTTCGCGGGACTCTCGCGATGTTTTCGCGGGGCCCGGAATCTCGCGAATTTTTCGCGGGAGGCGCAACGGTCAGCGGGGTTGGGGGGTCGAAGAAGAGAGGAGAGGAGGTCCGATGCCAGGGCCTGGAGGGCCACCTCCGGGGCCAAGCGAACGACGGACAATTGGAGCAGGGAGCGGCTAAGGATAGAGAAGGGGGGCGAAGGATAAGAGCCGGAGGGGGGCGCGAGGGGCGCACCGAGGAGCAGAAGCGGAGAGAAAGGGAGTTCTCCGGCTGATCACGCCAAGAAAAAGGCGAGGTTGATGACTAAATTAAGGCTCTGACTTTGCACACACCTGGGCAGAGCCCAGCGGCCCGCGGATGGAACTGGGTGTTTTTTCGTTCGAGAGAGTACCATGGATTGCCGTCGTCCTCGCCATCGCTCGGACGTCCATTCCCCGTGCATGTTTTCGACTTCGTGCGTTTATGTTTTCGCAAGGTGAACTTAGATGCTCCTCGATGGTTCTCGCCGAGGAAAGATGCACACGTCCGAGCGACTCCAAGCGTCTCTCTCGTCATCCTTCTGCTTGCGCGGATGACAGGATACATCAGAAGACAGCCAGGGGACAGATGATGTGCACCTCGGATTGCTCGACACCTCGTATATCTTGGTCCAGTGCTCGCCGTCCTCGCTGGTCTCGACTTTGAAGGACTGCGGCGGAAATCCGCCACCCTGACACGTGAAGGTGCAGTAGAATGCCACGTGTTGTCTGGTATGCTTTCCGTAGTCTGGACAGGGGCCCCGCCCTCTCTTTTTTGGCAGACTTCCGCATGCATCACCCCACTTCCCGAGGCTGTGATCCCTCGTAAAAAAAAACACATGGGTCCGCGCTGTCGAGGCCACGAACCCTCGTTAAGCACGGTTGATCCGTGTCCCAAGCTTCCAAGGCAGCCCATGCAGGTAGCCAAGGACACCAAGATGTCCCAAGATGCCTCGAAGACGGCATACGATTGCCCCCAGGCGGCCGAATATGGCTTCAAGGCGGCCCAGGATGCCTCCAAGAGGACCACACGAGGACCTCCAACGGGACCCGAAGAAGCTACAATCATGTACTCCCCATTGGTTAGTAAATGACTTTCGTATTCTCCCCTCTTCGGGCTTCCGTCAGCTCAAGACCCAAGAAGCCTCCTCGATGGCCCCAAGACGGCCTAAGAGGCCAGCAAGCGGGTCTCAATATGGCACAAGAGGACCCCACAGAGGCCCAAGATACATCCAATAACAAGGCCATTCGACGGTCCAAGACGGCACCAAGACGACCCCGCTGCGGACTCCAGACACCCATCATACAGCAAAGAGGGCCCCAAGACGACCCAATGGAGCCGCAAGACGGCGTAAGAGGACCCCAAGACGGCCCAAGAGTGCCTCAAGAGACCCTCAAGACTGCCTCGCAGGAGGCCAAGACATCACCAAGACGGCCCAAACGAGTTCCATGAGAGCTCCTCGAGCAGTCAAGACGAAAGGTGCCACATGTGAAGGATTTCCTCTTCCTCCTCCTCCTGCTCCGCCTCCTCCGCCTCCTCCTCCTCCTGCTCCTCCTCCTCCTCCTCCTCCGCCGAATCATCACCCCATCATCCGCATAATTCTTCTCATCACCCTCATCACGGCTCTGCCAAGCCCGGAGACACGAGGTGTCACACATGATGGCCTCCCGTCCCCCTCTCGGACAATCGCCACCCAGAATGCCAGGCTGCCACGGTGGCGGGACTTGCCGCAGGCAGCTAGATTCCCATCGGATATCGAGGGCGTCGATCTCCTTCTCGCCTGGCAAGCTCAGCTGGTACGTGACATGGTCGCCCTCATGGACCGGGCCGCTAGCCCAGTAGGACGAGGCATCTCCATCCACAGCCCGGCCTCAGCGTCAGGGAAAGCCAAATACGTATGTGCACTGCCTCGCTCCCTCTGGCTCACCATAGCTTCTCACTGACAGCTGACCAACCAACAAATGTGGCTGGGAGGCGCGCGCCTTGGCAGAAAGCAAGCAGGGCGGTATCACAATGGAATACACTCTGCCGATCGAACCGAGGTCACGCGCGCTTCTAGTCAAGGGGCGAGACGAGTTCACTCAGATGGGCACTGGAGAGTCTGGCACCGACGCGATCAATCCAACAAGTCATAAGATCGAAGCGAATTGCAAGAACCCGTGCAAGTACGTCATGGGGCACTGCGGGAGGAGGGAGGGTCCGGAGTGTAGAACTGACGGCCGCCATGCCAGTGGTGGATCTGCTCTGAATGACCCGCTGCCTCCTACTGGGATCCACTCTCCCTCGAATGTTCCCAACGACCGCCAAATCGGAGTGCAGAGGGAGAGGGAAAGAGGGTGGGGGAGGAGGGGAAGACGAAGGGAAAGGAGAGCAGGAACGACAGAGGAGAGGGGCCAGAGGGATGAGGATAAACTAGCCTGGAGAAAAAAGGGAAGAGGGAGGAGGGACGACAGCTGAGGGTGGCAGGGCGCACGGTGACAGAGGCGGGAAGAGGAGGAGAGGGAGGAGGAGGAGGCTTGTCTGGGAATGCGGGAAGAGCAATGGGCGGGCAGCAAGGGGGAAAGAAGTACGGACAGGGTGGAGAGGCAGGAGGAGCAGAGGAAGTTGGATGGAGGCAGGAGGAGGCAGCTGCGGGGAGAGAGGGCAGGAGCAGGCAGGGGGGAGAGGGGGAACGGCCAGCAGACCGCGGGCGAGGCTCAGAAGAGCGGGAGGGGGGGAGGGCGCAGTCCGCAGAGACGCCCCCTCGGCCCAGCTCCAAGGTGCCCGTGCCTGGACGCCCCGGCGCTGAGAGCCCCGCCGGAGCCGTGCGAGACCTCGTCGAAGGTGGAGGTCGCGCGGCTGTCCGCGTTCCTGGCGACGTCCACCTCCAGGGCGCCAGGGGGAGGGGGGGGGACCGGATCGGATCGGGACGAGGGCTCGTCGCCAGCCTGCACACAATAGCGCACGGCATGCAGCGAGCTCTGCAGAACGCTGTGCAACAACGAACAGCAATAATTATCCCAGTGCGACCCTACTAGGAAAGCAGCATTAGTAGTAACAGGAAAGCTAAGCAAAAGCTAAGCTAAAGCTAAGCAAAAGCTAAGCTAAAGCTAAGCTAAAGCTAAGCTAAAGCTAAAGCTAAAGCTAAAGCTAAAGCTAAAACTAAGCTAAAGCTAAAGCTAAAGCCTAAAGCTAAAGCTAAAGCTCCCAGGGGACTGGGGGAACCGCTCCCAGGGGACCGGGGGAACCGCCCGGGGCGCTTTACACTGCCCGGCCCCTTTAAGCCAAGAAAGTAACAACCCTTCTAGGCAGAGCCTAGGTAGGGAATAATACAAACAAGCAAACAAAAAACACCTACTGATCCTGAGGCGGGGTGGGGCAGGGAATGGAGGGAGTGGAGGGCAGGATGAGGGGGAGCGAGGAGAAAACACTTCGATCGGAAGGGGTGCGTGCAGCCATCGCTCCAGGTACCAGAAGGAGCGCTGCACAAGGAACGAAGAGGCTCTGCCTCATTGTCACCGCAGTAACTACTCAGCCGCTGCCCCTCAGGAGGGCTCTCCCCATCGCGCGATCGAGACACAACCACGCATCTGCACCGCGTGCCCTTGGAAAGAAACACACACACACATTGCAATGTGAAGAACTCCGTGGCCATCTGAGCGGTCGCAGCCGGCACCAAGGAGGAGGGAGAAGGAGAGGGAGGAGGAGGAGGAGGAGGAGGAGGAGGAGGAGGAGGAGGAGGAGGAGGAGGAGGAGGAGGAGGAGGGAAGAGGAGGAGGGAAGAGGAGGAGGAGGAGGCAAGAGGAGGAGGAGGAGGAGGAGGAGGAGGAGGAGGGAAGAGGAGGAGGAGGAGGGAGGGAGGAGGGCGCCCAACCATGAGAGTGCCACCCATACCGTCGACGAGCCCCCCCTCTGGCCACGGCGGGCGAGCCTCGGCCACGGGCGGGCTGCCCCCGACCCGGAGCTCGGGAGCCGCCCCAAAAGCCAGGGCGCTCGCCATCGCTTGGACGTCCATTCCCTGCGTTTTGTTCTGTTTCGTGCGTGGTGTTTTCGCCACATGATCAAGGATGCTCCTCGATGGTCCTCGCCGAGAAAAAATGCACACGTCCGAGCGATGCCAAGAGCACCTCCCAAGGAACGAGGCCGCTTTTTTCCATAAGTTCAGCTCCCGAGGCCGCCCAAGAGCCAGAGCACCTCCCGAGCCCAGAGAGGGCCTTGTGTCGGCATGCTGACTGCGGGCGGCAGCATGAAGTACAGTCGGGGCGTTGACCTAAGGAACCCTAAATAAGGAACGAGGCCCCTTGTTTCCATAAGTTCAACTTCGATTTCCGATCGAAGACACAAGGAAAACCTGAGGCAATCTGTGAAACACTTAAGGAACGCGGAGCCCCTCCCCAACGAAACGGGTTCCTTCTTCAGGGCCCCGACTGTAAGAGACCTTTTGGGGAATCGGCGATAACCCGGGTTATCCCGGGGTGTGGGGGTGGGGGAGGGGGCCGGCTGATAACTAACCCTCGCGCTGTGGGCAGCCCTGCATATGCCCACGCCCCCCCTCCCGCGGACCTGCACAACCGGCAAGGTTCGGTTATCCTGGGGGGGGGGATGGGGGGCAAGCCCGATAGCCCGGGTTATCGCCCGACCCTAAACCAAAACAGTCTCTAAGAGGCGCTCGGGGTGAATCTGGTCTCGGCCAGCCCAACCCTCGGAATCGAAGGCGAAAGAAACCGTTCAATCCTTGAAGCATCGTGGCAGTTGAAGGATCTTGCATGGTGGCCGAGAGCCGGGGACCGAAAACTGGGACCCGAACCGAACCGGCAGAACCAAACCGAACCGCGAGCCGAGCCAGCTGGACTGAACCGACCCCAGGTGTGATCCGAGCCAATCAGACTGCACCGTTCAGGCCAGACCGGGCCCGGCGAACCTCGGGCGCCTGGGACAGTCTAGGACATCATATCGCAATCGCAGAAGGACCAAGTGCCCAGAAGTCGCCAGGATCGCAATCTAGGACGTCTAGGACAGTCTAGGACAGCATATCCCAATCGTTCAGGATCGCGAATTGATTTATTATCTATATACCGATCTCGCTACATGGGTCGTTGGCCTGAGCCCGAGGTCCGCTCACCAAGCTCGGCTGTCGCGGCTCCTCCCGGGAGAAGATGGAATGAGGCGCCCGGGTCTCGCGGGGGGCGCTTTTGACGCGGGGGCCACTTTTGTCGCTGGTTTTGTCTCATGCAGGGTGATGGCCAGGGGGCGAGGAGTCTCGCGCATCCCGTGAGCGAGCCCTGACGAAGTCAAAACGTCTTACGAAGAGGAGCTGAGAGCTGCTCTAGTCTAGAAGCCCCGTCAG